TAGTAATTATATTGTAAGCAATAAAATTATTTTATGTTTAATATAAAAGTAGCATATTACCTTTTATTACCTAAAAAAACTTGCCAAAGCCAATGCTTTGGCAAAAACTGACCCTGGCTTCGGCCGAAGCCGAAGCTTCGCTATAAATAAGCGCAACGAAACGGCAAACGACAACTTTTTTATAAACTTCATATTAAATGAATGAAGTACTACAAAAATGAATGAAATTATGATATACAGCTAATAAAACTTTAAATTTTAGTTATTTAGAAAACAATTTTTTTGATTTTTAAAAAAATGTTAGTTTTCTTTTTAATCAAATGTCGTGTTATGACTTGAAGCAAGAAAAAAGCTTAAACTAACATATGCTTTTAAAATCAATTGATTCTATTTAATTACCGAGTTTTAATAAACCTTTTGCTGAATAATTGCAATTTCTAATGGTTAAAACTTTGCAGCATATCCCCAGAATAACTCATTTTGTGATGTTTTAATAAAAATCATTTCAGTAAATTTTGTTGTTTTTTGTCCAGTGAAACTTGTGGTTTTTTTTAATTGTCGGTTACAAGCATACTCCCGAGACGATTTGAAATTGCTTTGATTCCATCTGATTTATACTTCTATGGTCTGACAAAGTATATATATATATATATATATATATATATATATATATATATATATATATATATATATATATATATATATATATATATATATATATATAATAAAGACCTAATTATAAATTAAAATAAAGACCTAACTATAATATATATATAACCAATAATATATAACAAAATAATATATATATATATATATATAATAATATTATAATATATATATATATATATATATATATATATATATATATATATATATATATATATATATATATATATATATATATATATATACAAGTTTATATATATACAAGTTTATATATATATATATATATATATATATATATATATATATATATATATATATATATATATATATATATATATATATAATAAAGACCTAATTATAAATTAAAATAAAGACCTAACTATAATATATATATAACCAATAATATATAACAAAATAATATATATATATATAATAATATTATAATATATATATATATATATATATATATATATATATATATATATATATATATATATATATATATATATATATATATATATATATATATAAGTTTATATATATACAAGTTTATATATATATATATATATATATATATATATATATATATATATATATATATATATATATATGCGGTAGTGGTGTAACGCTCGCTTTGTAAGCGAGAGGTTCGGAGTTCGACTCCCATATATATATATATATTATATATATATATATATATATATATATATATATATATATATATATATATATATATATATATATATATATATATATATATATATATATATATATATATATATATATATATATACATATATATATAAACGAGTCACAGAATTTTACCATAAAATTCGGCTCCGTAAGTCTCTATTTCCGCGTATCTATATCTATATCTATATCTATCTATCTATCTATCTATCTATCTATCTATCTATATATATATATATATATATATATATATATATATATATATATATATTTTATGGTAAAATTCTGTGACTCGTTTATATATATATGTATTATATATATATATATATATATATATATATATATATATATATATATATATATATATATATATATATATATATATATATATATATATATATATATATATATACATATATATATAAACGAGTCACAGAATTTTACCATAAAATTCGGCTCTGTAAGTCTCTATTTCCGCGTATCTATATCTATATCTATATCTATCTATCTATCTATCTATCTATCTATCTATATATATATATATATATATATATATATATATATATATATATATATATATATATATATATATATATATATATATATATATATATATATATATATATATATATATATATATATATATATTCAAAAGAAATCATATTAAAAAACCGTTAAGAAGACGTTAAAAAGAGGAATTGACTTCAAAAGGAAAACTATTTAGGTTTTAAACAATTTTTAATTTGATGTTTTGTAGAAGACGCGAAAAAGGTTCTTTTGAGGTTGACAACGCGACTTCAAAATATCAAGACGTGAAAAATTACTCAGTACCAGTCTTTTTTTAGGATTTCCCAAGCAGTTTTAACGTTCTCGTCTTGGTTTCTAAATCAGCCTATATAATTGACATGTTGTTTCCATAAAGTTCATTTTGTATCCTTTATTATATGTAACTTATTATATATCATCGATTATACCATTTTGATTTTTTTTTGTTAGTCAAAAGTTAATACATACTGCTTTCTCAGATAACACACTGTTGGTCCAACGTCGGATCAACGTCGAAAAAATCGTTGGCCGATGGTCGGCAACTGACGTCGCTACAACGTGGAATTGGATGTCGCAGCCAACCGTTGCATTTTGGATTCTGAGACCCGAAATTTTGGCATAAATTAATAACTTCAATTGAAACACGAAATAACTAATGATTTTTATTTCTTAAAATAGGTAAAATTTTAAATGTGTTATAACTAAATTTTATATGAATAACGATCTTTGCATGCAATTGATACTAATTTTATTTCCATTCCATATGGAAAATACTCTTTATAATCTTACTGAATTAAATGTTAAACGTTGGCGCTTCATGCTTTTTCTGGAGAAAGGTTTAACTAAATGATGCCCCATCCAACAATTTATGATGGTTTGTATTAGTTGTCGTTTATTCATGAATGAAAATTTTCTTTATGATCAGTCTGAAACAAACTGTTGTAGAACTGCAGAGGCTAATTAGAATCATTTATTTTGTGGATTCTCAAGTAAATGATTTGTTCTTAAGGTAGTATAAACACTCTTTGTACACGCAGTTAGAACTATATTGTATCCCATTCTTTAACCAGAAAAACAAAAATCTTTATGATGACTGAAACTGTAATGCTTACGTAACTGTTGAAGCATATTCGAATTAATTTCTAAAGATAAGAATGGAATTTTAATTAATTACAAAAAGTTTTTAAAAATAGTCTGCATCTGCTGATTTTCTTTTTTTGGTTTGTGAAGCTGGAGGCAGTTGCATATTAAAAAATGCTTCGTTTTTAGAAGCTTCATAATTTTTTATAAAATCTTTTTTTTGTCTTAATAATTTCTTGCACATTTTTTCAAAGTCTTCAATAATAGGAAAATTAAACTCAATTGACATAATAAAACTTAGAAAACTAAACAATGTTTTAGATGGAAAGACTTTAAGTAAAATTAAAATAACGTTGTTAGTGATTTTATCAGTGTTCATTAATCGCTTAATAAAAGTTACATTCATTTTCCCAGCCATTTTCCCATCCAATGTATAGTATTAATATCTCCCTTGCACTAGAATGCATAGTGATACATAAACTTCTCAATAAAAATAAAACACAAACAAATAAAATCAAGTAATAATTATTGACAAATAACAAGTATGCAATAGATATCAGAGGATTAAACAACTTATCTGATGTTTGTACGAGAGAAAAAAACCGCCAAAGTTTGTTTTTATTTATACACTAAAATAGTGTATATTATACACTAAAATTTGACTCGCTAAAAAAGCTGTTTTAATAAATTTAATAACATAGTGAATTGGGAAGTAACGCATTTAAAGTTACGTCATTGCTTTAAAATATAACAAACATTTAACGCATGTAACTACAAATTTTTTTGCTAAAAGCAACAAAATTTGCCAAGGTTGAAGAGGTTTTAATTAGACGTACAGAAAGTATTTTTTTTGATTTTCATGTGCATAAAAGGTTGAAATTTCAATAACTTGGTGGGCATAACAAATCTTGAACGTTTTTCATATAAAATAAGTAAAAACAAAAATAATAATGCTAAAAAAATTAACTTAAACTATTTTTTTTATCTATGCCCACCAAAAATCTGATAAAATAGACATTCGTTGATAAGTATGTAAAATTTCAACCATCAAGCATGTAGCTTAAAATATCTAATCTTGATTTGCACAAGACAGGTTTTTCGTAAAATACGCAAAAAACAGAAAAGTTTCTCCAGTGGCGCTTGAAACAAGTTGCCTGCAACATTTATGTAGTGCTGACGATAATTAGAAGAAAAACTCATTAGTCTTGGCCTATATGCATTGACACTTGTTTTTGGCCTTTTTGGCGAGACACTATGTTTTATGTTATAATATGTTTTATTGATCTTGTTTGTTTTCGATTATTTCTTTATTTTATGTTCCTTATTTAACTAATATTTCAAATTTTTTATTTGATTTTCAATAACTTTAAACATAAAGATAGTATACTTTTTATTTGCAACCAACTACTGCTTTTCAAAATCAATATTTTACTCGAAAACTTTTTTTAGGACGTACAAAAATTTTAAAGTTGTTTTGCTTTAAAAAAAAAGGTTTCAAAATTAACCTCAAGCATTATTTTTTTTGCAACACAATAAAAATACATTAAATTTTTTCCCTAAACAAAATTCTCAATAAGTTTAAAATTTAGAAGTTTTTTTAGTTTTTCGAAAATTTAAAAAAACGCACTTGACGGATTTCTAAAATAAACTATTCTCTCCGAAAATAAACTACTCTCTCCGAAGTGTTGTTAAAGAACCGTCCATATTATCGCTATACTACCGAGCGCAACATTTTTACGACCGCAATAGAAAATATTCTGTTTTTAAACGTGATTTGATCAATTTAGAAATCCATCGCGACCAAAAGCATAATAATAATGGTAACTTGTTACGATGCTTTAAATAAATTTATATATATATATATATATATATATATATATATATATATATATATATATATATATATATATATATATATATATATATATATATATATATATATATATATATATATATATATATATATATATATATATATATATATATATATAATTATATATTAGTTTATTTAGATTAATTAAATAAAAACAAATTGAAAAAAATATATATTCATAATATGAATCATATATAATATTTGAATATAACACTAAGCAATAACCTCTACTTAGAATTATAAAATAATTTATGTCTTGGGAAAATAGTATGTTAAACTCTGTACATTTGGTGGGTGAAGATGATACTGGGGACTTATACAGTGATTTTGAAAATGTCTATGATGCAGCGTTTGATACTGAGGTACATATTGTTAAGCACTAAATTTTTTATTAGATTTTTAGTCGTGTTGCATATGAAACAATTGAAATTTTAATGTTTTTATTTTTTACTAGTTTATTAAAAATTTTTAAAAATAATGCAAATGTCAAGGTTTTATATTTTATAGGGTTTGTATGAAGATGAAGGATTTCAAAAAGCTTTGAAAACTAGTTATGGAAAAAGATTGGTATTATTTCAAATATATTGAATACATTTTTTATTTAACAAATGTTATTTATTCTAGTTTATAATATAATTTTCAGTGTATGTTTTTCAATATAAAAATTAAGTTATGAACATTTTTTAAATCTGGTTGTAATAAATCATTTTTTAGTTGTAATAAATATAAAAATATATTAAAGCTTTAAGTATTAAAATATCTTGTACATAATAAAATTGTTATCATAGCAAATGCTAAATAATTTTTATATATTATTGTAAGCCTTCCATTTTTACATTAAATTACTGTAAAATTTTAAGCTTTTCATTTTATATCAAAATACTGTTAAATGGAAGGCTTACAATAGTATTTCATTATATTTACTCAGCACTTAAAGCTCTTACACATCTCGGTGGAAATAGTTTCAAACCAAAAAAAATGTCCCAGGATCATGCGATACTTTTTTTGATCTGCACTGGCCTCTATTTTCAGAAAATAATACTATTAAAAAAAAAATTTGAGGTCCAAGAAAAAACAAGACATTTTTGTAAACCAAAGTCATTATTTTTCCTTGTATATCCATTAAGTATTTTATTCAATCAATGAATTGTTTGATGACTATTGCACATTTTAAAAGCTTTAAAATATTCACAATAGACAGGCAAACATTTTAATATAGGTTTTTAAGTGTCAAATATATGATGTTTTGTATTCTTGTTTATAGGAAAAAGAATTAATATTGGTTTTTCTTCAACATTTATTTTTATATATGTATTAAACTATTAATAGTTTAATACATTAAAAATAAATGTATTATATTATATTATAATATTATAATATATTAAATACTATATTAAATGTATTATATTATATATTATATTGTTATATTATGACATTATATTATATATTATATTAAATGTATTATATTATATTATTATATTATAATATAATATATTACAATATAGTTTTGTTGTAATGTTATTCCAACTTCCTTGTGCGGAATTATTCGCTGAGGGAACAGTTTAGCAATCGTTAGAGAGAGTTTTTCATATAGGTCTCCAAAGGGATTGATTGTGTTGCAATTATTAATCATTATTCTAACGAGTGTTAGAAATAATTATCCAGAGGGAATTAATTTTGTAACAATCTTTACAATAAATTTAAAGAAATCTATCAAAATCAATAAAAAGAAATCTATGCAAAGTTAACCATTAAACTCTATATTTCCTTAATATATATTCGGCAAAGTCCACATTTTGTACCACCATTACTTCAAGATGCCCAATCAGGCATTAAACCACGAATATAACTGAAAAAAAGTTTGCATTGTGTGCTTTGAGAAAGACAAAAAGATTAGAGAAATAACTGGCCCAACCTAAAAGATTAGAGAAATAACTGGCCCAAGACTTCAAAATTATTTTATCCCAAATTTAGACTTGGCTAAGGGACATTATCCTTCCGGTATCTGTTCGTGCAACAGAAAATTTTTGGAACTCATAGAAAAAGATATAAAAGAACCAAAAGCGCTTCCAGCACCATATGATTTTTCTGAAATTAGAACTTCCATTATTACTAGAAGTCAGCCTACATGCGAGTGTGCTGTTTGTGTTGTTGGAAGGAAAATTATCTACCCAGGAAAAGGAAAAAATCAAAAAAAGGAAGACCAGTATCCACTGAATCAGTTCTGCCACCTTCCCTACCCATATCTGTATGTCAAACATGTCTATGTACATCAGGACGCGGTTTACCTCACTCTTGCAATATTTCAATTCGCAGGGATAATCTTGAGGCGGCTCTGTCTAGAGGTATATCTGTATGTATATATATAATAATTATTTAACCTAAAACCAATTGCGCAATTATAATTTATGTTAAAGCCAATAAAATATAGCATTATGTGGATTGATACAGTTTTTGATGTTAAAGATATAATATATTATATTAAATATAGTAATATATTTCAGATGAGAGAGGTATAGAGCTTTTTTGTACTAAAATCCTAATCTGAATTGGATGCAGATGATTCAATAAAACTTGCTAACAAAAATCCTAAAATTTTTAATATCAAAGTTCCAAAGAAAATAGAGTTGAAAACCCTATTTCCAGAAAAAAAGGTGTCAGCTAGTGAAGTCACAAGATTCAAAAATATATTAGGGTTAAGTGATTCCCTAACAGAAACTGCTTGTAGTATTGTTAGGACCTGGAAAGGAAGAGAGTTTTTTGAACCTAATCTAAAAGAAAAACTTGTGTTTCAAGACTGTTTTAGATTTCAAATCAATAAGCAAACAAAATATTTAGTCAATTGTACAAATGTGTCTGAGCTAATAAATCAACTAGTGGTAAAAAGAGATATATCACCAGATTATATTGTAAAGATTAGAATAGATGGGGAGAAGGATTTCTAAAGGTTTGTTTAAATATTCTTGATTGTAAAGTGAATGAATCTAAAACCAAGTTCTCATACAGAGAAGGAATAAAGCAGGAAAAGTTTATGGACGGAGGAGTTAAAAACTTATTATTCTGGCCATTGTTGAAGATGTTAAAGAGAATGTCCAAAACATTGAGCAAATCATAGAAATATCGGGAATTACAATGAAGAAGTAATTTTTAGCATTTGACTTAAAGCTTGCGAATATTTATTTCGGAATTGAAGCTGCTTCTTCTACTCACTTTTGCAGTTGGTGTGAATTGTGAAAGTAAGACATGCAGGGTTTCACAACCTGTGGCGCATAAGATAATTAGGATTTAGTATGGAATAATAAATTATTTTTTTTTACAGTCAGAACATTATTCTGGATATTTTTTAAATTTGGGATTTTAATCTACTTTTTTTCTAGAACACTTGGTATGATTAGAGATAATGCAAGGGAAGTACAAAAAAGCTTGTGAGAATCACAGAAAAAAAAAGTAAACTCTCAACTGTACCATTTAAGAATTGTGTCCAAACTCTTTTGATAGGCCTGCCAGATCATACATCTGTTGCAGAAATCCTTCCTCCAATGGAACTTCATTTATTTTCTGGAAACACAAACTGTTTGTATAACATAGGTAATAAAATACTTTTAAAAATAGAAAGAATTTCCATGAATTTGTGGAATAAATCAATTGGATTTAATAGGCCAAGATTGCACTGGGGCCAGTTCAAGGAAGACAGTGTTCAAAGCTATTGGATAACATAGAAACATTTGCCAATATTCTCAAATCCAGTTTTGAAGTTGTACCAGATGAATTGATAAAAATTATGAGTGCAATGAAAGCACTAAATAATGTGAAGAAAACTTGCTTCACTAAAATTACATGCTCTAGTCATCCATGTACCAACTTTTTTGGAATCAATGGCTGACAAATTCCCTGGAAAAGGTCTTAGTTTTTGGTCAGAACAGGCTTTTGAATCTGTTATTATGACTTCAAACAGTTTTATGAGTAAGGATACAAAGTTCCAAGTTGTCACGAATTGTACCAATTAAAACTGTTGAGATCTGATATTGTTTATAATAATAGACAAGCACATTTCAAGATTTAATTTTAAAGGAGACTTTTATGTTTTTAGAAGACTTATACATGTTTTTAATCTTATATATGTAATTCATATGTATTTAAATATCTAAGTCTTAATATTGTTTTATTTGTCATTAGAAATAATTAAATAGCTTTACATAATAGAAATATTCCATCATTTTTAATCCTCCTTTTAAAGATAATAAACCTGACCAATACATCAGTATTGTTTTTTGAAATATTACGGAATAAAATTATTTGAAAATGTTTGCACAATAAGTTAGTAGCCATAATTTATATGAGAACATATAAATTATTAACAAATAAAAGCTCTGTCTATTGTGAATGTTTTAAAGCTTTTAAAATATGTAATAGTCATCGAACAATTCAAGATCGAATAAATTACTTAATGGACATACAAGGAAAAATACTGGCTTTTTCGGTTTACAATAATGTCTTTTTTTTCTTGGACCTTGAAATCTTTTTTATTGGTGTTATTTTCTGAAATAGGAGGTTAGTACAGATCCAAAAAAGTCACATGACCTTGGGACATTTTTTTTGGTTTGAACCTACTTCCATCGGGGTGTGCTTACAGTTATGCATACCATGTACTTTATATATTTCATAATGGTAAGAGCTTTAAAATTTGTATATGAGTTTTTGTTTTCAGTCAAACTATAAATTTAAAGTAATTTTCTATTCCTGTGAAAGCGTGTATTATTTTTAGATATTCTAAGTGATGTTAGGGTGTTAAATTAGGTGGTTTAAATTTAGGTTAATTTAAAATGGTAATTAGGATTTGATTGAGAAAAGGTTGACCATGACAAAATAGTGGAGTTTTATTATATAATATATTTAACCACCAGAGTATATTAACATGTGTCATTAATTTGTATGCACAGTTAAAAAATTTTAAACAATTTTGTGACAAAGGAACAATTATTTTTGACACCTGTGTCATGACTACATTTTTGGTTTCACTAACCTGATCTGACGAAGTATCTGTTTAACCTTTCACTACCAAATAAAATTCCTCAAGTTTTCTATGCGTAAATGAGTTTTTGTCTGCAGTTTATCTCTCATAAAATCGCATTATCTCTCATAAAAAGTATTTTTTTATTTCAAAAGAATTACACTAAAAGTTAGAATTTAAAAAACAAATTGTTTACTAAGTCAATCCTTCTTTCTATATAAAATTACAAACGAAAAACATAAGTTGAAATATTCAATTCACAACCTTTAAAAAATTGAAAATTTTTCTGCATGTTTTTTTGTGCATATTAAATAATGTTGGAGTTTATGAGGACATTTAGTTTAAGCACCCCTACTAGTCAAAGAGTATATGATTATATGGGTGCAACACTGCTTTTCTGGATCATAGAAAAGCATATATACAAGTTCAGGTACTCAAAGGCTACTACCAAATTTTTTGACGGACCTTTGCAGCACATCTTAAAAAATTTTCTGGATTATTTTTAAGGTCTATTTGAATAAGATATTTCATAATACTGATATGAACCTAATTGTTTTATTAGTTTAAGGTTAGTTAGTATATAATAGTTAATAAATACCTTAATCGATGAGTTTTTATAACAGATCATGTTTTAATTTATTGTGTCTAAAATATACAAGTGCCAATATAATAAGCAACAATATAATATCATATACAACAGTAGAAGTAATATTTGCAGGAAATGCACAATAAATCTAGTTAAAGTTAAAGTATAAACTACCAGACAGCAGATATTATGTACTTGAACTCTTTGTAAAAAGCAGGTGAGCTGTAACCTTTAATAGTATACTTATTAGTATATTGATTACTAACCTTTACATTTACATTATTAATAGAAAATTTATTATAACTTTTCTATTAATAATGTATCAGATCTGTTAATAATATATCTTACCTGGCTTCTAAAATAATTTTAATGTCCAATTTATGAAAGTGTTGAAACAAGGATGCTAAAGCAAAGATGATGACGATGATTAAAATTTTAAATCTCAAAGGTTTTTTTTATACATAAATCTTAGAATACACTTTAAGATAGGAAGTAAATTTAAAAAAAAATTTAAGAAGTTTAGTTGAAGTTTGTTTTTATTGTAGTAGATTTTATATTGTGAGTAAATTGCAGATTGTAGGTAAAGAAAAGCTTTTATCTTCATGCTTTTATTTTGTTTAATACCAACTCAAATGGCAATAGCCATTTGAGTTGTCTATATATTAAGTCTATATATATGGTTATTATGTCTATATATTAAGTCTGCATATATGATTAGTACAGTCAAGGAGTCTTTTCACATGGCTAACCTTGTCAAAAAATCTACATGCCTGCAAGTCAAGGAGATTTTTTTGACAAGGAATCCAAATTTACTTATTTTTTAATCTGATTTCTACACCCATTTCTGTTATTGTAAAGTTAGTTTTTGTGATCTCACCTTAGATAAAAATATTCTTTTTTTAAATGAAAGTTTTTTGATTTTAATATAACTTTAAGAAATAGATGTTAAAATAAAAAACACTTTATAATAGGGTTCAAGTGCTGGCAGACCACCTCTCAGAACAGCTGCAGACAATAGAATGAACACATCTTTGGTAAGTTAATATTTAAAATTTTTTACAATAAAAACAAATTTTATTTGTTATTTAAATTTTATACATTTGTAAAAACAATTTATTACAATAAAATCCAAATGCAGTAATAATAAAGTTGAAATTTTAATCATTAAAATGTTTAATTTAAGAATTTATTTCAAATTTTTTTCAATTGAATAATTTTTATCAATATTAACTATCATTTATAAATAATTATCAAATTTGAAAGAAAAATTAATATCTCTTGAGATTTTTTTACTAGACAGATAATTTTTGTGGATTTACTTAATGACAGAATTTCTATAGTGTTTAAAAAAAAAAATCAAATTAGAAGTAAACAAACAAACAAACAAAAAATTAAATTACAAACATCCTTGTAATTTAATATATTTTTTTACACATCTTGCAATGACATCTCATATCAAAAAAAAAAAAAAAAAATCTTTTTAGTAAAAGAATGAGTCTGCAAATAAGCTTTTAGGTTCAACCTAAGTTTTTAAATTGTTAAAATACACTAGTGTCAATTTTGATGTTTATTTAGAATCGTGGTCATGTTGCTGTGCCATCCATGGGAGGTAGATTAGCAACAGGTGTTGCTACTGTGAGTGATTTAAATTTTTTTTTTTGTTTATATTTAGAATTTTAAAATTGCTATATTAATTTTTTCAGTTTTTATTATTTATTTTTATTTTCTATATATTAGAACCCTGCGCAAGCCAGACCAATGACAGCTGTTCGAGCGGCAGGTTATTCATCTGCAGGAAAATGTATTCTTTATATCAGTTATTAATTATTTTAAATATCAATGGTTTTTTATTTGTAACTCAAAAACCTGAAAATATTTTAGCATCTAACACTTTACTTGATCCCTTGCTACAAACAAAAGGTCCAGCTCCTCTGTTAGATGTCAAATCAGAAGATAGGTATTAGTTTCATCATTTATATGCAAAATTATTAATTAAAAAAAGCTTGAACTAAATTCTTTTAATTAAACATTTTAATGATTAAAATTTCGAATTTAAATATCATTTATTTTTTATTCATTTTAACTTTTGTTTGTTTTTTATTTGTTTATTTTTTTACTTAGTTTTATTTGTTATTGAAAATCATTTGAATTTTTTAAATTACATATAAATAAATTTGATTTCTTTGATTGCCTAATATATAAAACACTGGCTAACTATATTTTTAGTCCTGAGGAGAAGTTAAAGATATTAGAAAAACAAACAATGGCGCTTGTTGAAGAAAGCTGTTATGCAGCTGAGAGGAACGATTTTAAATTAGTAAATTTAAATTTCTAGTTTGGTAGATGAGTAATTTGTTAACCATTGCAGTATTTTGTTATTTTTTATCTTTGCTACTTTATCCTTTGATTTACTTTTGCACTAAAGTTAATTAAGTACTTCAACCTAATTTGACATGGAACTTGTTTTTTGTTCTGTTATTTGAAATAAATATTTATTTTAGGCATTAGAAAAAGCAAAAGAAGCTGGACGAATGGAAAGAAATTTATGTAGGCACCAGGAGCAATCACAGTTAACTGAACATATAAATCTTGATATCACTTATTCGGTATGTTTTAAATTTAAGTTATAGTAAGAAAATTAATAGAAGCAACTAGCAAAATAAAATGGTGAAATTAATTAACTTTTTCAAGTAATCATCTAGATGAAGATTGATAGATAACAACATGTAGTTGTTATGTATGTATGTATGTATGTATGTATGTATGTATGTATGTATGTATGTATGTATGTATGTATGTATGTATGTATGTATGTATGTATGTATGTATGTATGTATGTATGTATGTATGTATGTATGTATGTATGTATGTATGTATGTATATGTGTGTATATACATATGTAGGCTTGGTCGGGAAGCGGGAGCAATCGCTCTCAAATACTGACCATGGAAATTATATTTAGTTGCAAAAAACTGGCCAGGTTTATGTGCGAAACAAAAATTTTTTGTTTTATGGAAATACATAGAAACATAATAAACTTGAATGTTCTTAAAAGGTCTTGGTGCGGAAGAATAAAAAGAATATTCGCGAACACTAAAAACCTGCTAAATTAACAAACAAACTAATTCTATTGATTCAAAAAATACACTGACTAAGCGAAATAAAGTTCTAGAGTATTCTGTTGAAATGTATTATTCACAATTTGTTATGTTTTGAGATTTCTAGCATAAATTGTTATATATATTATATCTTGAATATATTATCAATATATAAATGTATATATATATATATATATATATATATATATATATATATATATATATATATATATATATATATATATATATATATATAAATGTATATATGTAAATGTTTATATATATATATACATATATATATATATATATATATATATATATATATATATATATATATATATATATATATATATATCTATATATATATATATATATATAAATGTATATATATATATATATATATATAAATATATATATATATATATATATATATATATATATATATAAATGTATATATATATATATATATATATATATATATATATATATATATATATATATATATATATATATATATATATATATATATATATATATATATATATATATATATATATATATATATATATATATATATATATATATATATATATATATATATATATATATATATATATATATATATACATCAAGACTTTTATAGTTAATTTAAAATAAATCTGTTTATTTTAAATGGAATCTAACATAAGGTTTATACAACATTTACAGGTTTTGTTCAATCTAGCATCTTCTTATCATAATTTACAGATGTATAATGAAGCAATCAATACCTATAATGTGATAATTAAGAACAAAATGTTCAGCAATGCTGGTAGATTGCGTATAAATATTGGAAACATTTATTATGTTCAAAGAAACTATGCGCAAGCTATTAAATATTACAGAATGGCTCTTGATCAAATCCCTCAAACTCACAAACAAGTTAGGTAATTTAGTTAATTAAAATTAAGTTTTTTGAATAGTTAGTAGTCCACCAAATTGTTTTTATTGTGTTTATTCGAAAAAATGAATTTTAAAACTTTTAATATGATTAGAATACCTATGATGAAAAACATTGCCATGGTGTTTGTAAAAATGGCTCAGTACAGTGATGCTTTAACCACATACGAGCACATTATGACTGATCTTCCTGATATGCAAACTGGTTTGTTTTTTTATTTTTTAAAATTATTTTCTGCTTATTTTTATTCATTTTTTAATTATTTTGTTCACTAAAATCTTTTTTAAACAAATAATGGTACTAGATTATATATATATTTTTGCTCAGTTGACTAGTTTTATGGATTACCATGTCCTTTAAAAAAATGTCTACGTTAACACTAGACTAGGCTTTTAATTTTTTTAAAAGATTTTCTTGTGCACCCTTAAAATTTTATTTTTATATTTTTAATCAAAATCACTAAAAACAAATAATATTTAAAATAATTGTATATTCTGTTTTCAAAAATTTCAGGAGTAAAGTTTTTAAAGATAAAAACTTTTCTCCTGTTCTCTCATTTTTTCTATGTTGTCTAATAATGTATTTAAGCATTAAATAAAAAATATATGAAAACACAAAACTTATTATTACAAGGGTGATCCAAAAAGTGACCAACAAGGGTGATCCAAAAAGGCATATATATATATATATATATATATATATATATATATATATATATATATATATATATATATATATATATATATATATATATATATATATATATATATATATATATATATATATATATAAAATATACATATATATATATATATATATATATATATATATATATATATATATATATATATATATATATATATATATATGTATATATATATATATATATATATATATATATATATATATATATATGCAATTTGAATAAAGAGATTTGTATGATTTTACAACTTTATTAAGTTTTCTAAAAGCTACAATTGATATTTTCTTTTTGCAATCCAGTTTTGGCACTTGCTTGATTCATGATTATTTAAGCATGTCAATTTTATTCAAAAGTTGTTGACATTGATTACCATTTTATTATCATTCATGTATTTAAGGCTTCTGGGTACTCATTTTATTTAAATAGTCACATTTTTTTTTTTTTTTTTTATGTTGATTTTAGGTGCCCCGAGAAGTCCTTACGGTCTTGTCACAGAGCACCGCGGAAGAGCATTTAATAGGAAGTTCATGCCTCCTTCCCAACCGATGTCGCAAAACTTGCCCAGAGGTGGGGTTTGAACCACGAATCTTACATTGCTGAGGCAAGTGCGCTACCACTGCGCCACGGCTGCTTAAATTACATTTTAAAAAACAGTTTGATTTATTTAAAAAGCTGTTTGATTCCTTACTTGTAAAAAGACTGTTGATTACCCCAATTTAATTAAGTAATGATTTTATTAAAGCAATTAGATTTAATAATAAATTTAGGTTTAATAATTTTATTTGATTGGTTTATGATTTTATGATATAATGATTTCAATAAATTATTATTTACATAGTTATGAACAGTAGTTATTTTGTGATGCTTAGATAATAAATAATTAATGGTATATAATAGATAGGATGGTTAAAATAAATTAATTTTAATAGGTTATTAAATAACTTAATTTTTTTTGTGTTACGTTTTTATAAAAAGATAATAAAGTACAATATCATACAAGTTTACATCAATGTTTTCACCCTTATTACTTATAGTTAATGTATTTTGTAAGTATATATTTTTATTTATTTTGATTACATAAAAAGCACAGGTTGCCACTTGTATTAGGGAGTATAGAAGTTCAATAGTTTATTTTATTTTTACAAGATTTATTATTTACATCTTTTTACAGGTTTTAATCTCTTGTTGTGTGCTTATGCTTTAAATGATAAAGAAAAGATGAAAAAGTCATTTCAAAAGCTCACACAGATTGCATCCATTGATGTTGATAATGAAAAATACAACCCTTCTGCTGTATGAATTGTTTGAAATGTTTTAATCTCCTAAATGGCCAGTAGACAATTATAGTCAATGAGGCTACTCTTTTTTTCTTTTTTTTTATCATTTTTTTTTTTCACTTATTTTGTCCATTTAAAATTTAAATTTTAAGCATAATTAAAAAGTTTAAATAATAAACAACTAACTTAAAAAATATTTTATTTACAACTATATTTTTATATATTTTATACTTTCGAATGTTATAAGTATTATTGTAATATTTAAATATTGCCTAAGTTTTTATTTTTTATATATTTATTATTAATGAGCTAATTTTAAAATTAAATCGATTTATTACTATTTTAAATTCCATTCACTCTAATATTCAAATGACAATTTATAAATTTTTAAAGGGTCAATTTTGAAAAGTTACATTAGACACACTGACTAACTTAAATATTAAAACATAATAAAGTCTTGAATATTATTTTATATTTAATTTTGTATTCTCTATTTTTATTAATTATTTTATTAATATAGTTTTTCTCTTGCCTTATTAATTATGAGAAGTTTCTTTTATAGAATGATCATCATGGACAGATGGTTTTAGATGCTATTCGTGATGACTCGTTAAGAAGATATAATAAGCAAAAGTGACTTTTATTTTTATAATTATTTATATTGTTTTTAAACTTAAGTCATATGTATAAAATAAATTTGTACAACTTATAGAAAATTACAACAGGTAAATAATATAAAACCAACTAATATAAAAATGTAAGTATTCATTTATTTATATTATATTATGTTTCTATGACAACATTTAATTGTCAGAGAACAAGTATGGTTGAATGTGCAGAAATAGAGTGCCAACACTATGTCTTATGTTGTAATTGATCCTATAAATTAGAATAATTAAGTTAATAACTCAATTACATGATGTAATTCGGTGAGTTAACTTTCATAAAAGGAAACCTAGCAACATATTTTGATTTAGAGTTTTTACTTTGTTATTAAATTTGAATTCAATAGTGGTAGTAAGATATAAAT